CCCCAAAACCCCAAAACCCCAAAACCCCTGATATTCTATTTTAAATTATAGAAGAGAATTAATTAATATTTGATGAAATTCTCCTTTCATTAATCAATTTTCTTAAGAAGAAAACTAGCTCCAAAAGCAGACATATTCATTATCAACAGTATAACGAGAGGAATCTTTTTGTTCGGTATTTCAACTATCATTGGAATGAAAAGCATGGCAATCCTTGAAAATAATCCACAAATACCATAGCTAGTTGCTAAAATTCTAGAATCAAAAAGATATACATGAGAAACAAATATCCCAGAGTAGCTCATACAAACGAATGACTTCAACATGAAAAACATAAGAGCATATATGTACACGCTGATTTGATTAGGATCAATAAAGATAATTAAACCCATTAAAATTGAGGCAATTGCATAAGATATACTCAAGCATTTTGCAAAGCCTAATCTTTGAACTACAATATCTGAGTATAGATAACCAAAGCAAGAGAAACCCATAGCAACTCCGATAACATAAATATTAGCTTGAATGTACTTGATATAGAAGTTGAAAATGAAAAATGATGTACTGGTTGAGATCCAGCAAATAATCATTAGCAATAGATTTCTTATTGTATATCTAGTAGTAAAGATAAGTTTCCTAATGCTTGGCTTTTCATCTACCTAATCCTCATTTGTCTTATTTTTCTCTTATTCTTTCTTCTATTAGGTTTCATATTTATCAATGAGTTAAGCTAAGTTTAAATAATCAACTAGCCTATCACCATTTTCAGACATTATTTACTTTGAATCTGCCTTAGCTTTTTCATAGTTTCCTTGGTTCAATGTAAATTTAAGTGATTCTGGAAAATAAATAAACTTAAGAGAAGCAACAACAGTGCAAGTGATGACTAATCCTATCCAAGCAAAAACTTATGTATTTTTTGTGATAAAGTAAAGTATCAAAGGTGAGAATATGAAGTTAAAAGAATCAAGACAAAACAGCCATCCAGTTACGAATGACCCCTTCTAGCCAATGAAATCCATTAAATGTGAATACGTGACGAAATTCTTATTAATGAATGTTATTCCTAGAATTAGAATTGAGAAGTAGTAAAGTACTCTGTTCTAGAATACTAGTATAATAATGAATGTCAATATCTAGGACGAAGAACCAATTATTGTGAACCATCTTTTTCCATATTTATCAGCTAGTGGTGTCAAAAATACACTTGCAAACAGTTATCCAAAGAAATCTAGACTTCCATATAGGCCTATGTAGAACGAATCAGCGCACATTAAGTCAAGTCGTGTCACCCAATTATTAAGCGATAATTCATTCTTATCATCAACTCTCCATTCATTAATCAGACCATCTTGGTTGGAGCATATTTGCTCTCTCTAACACTCTGAAAAATATTTCTAGTCATTAAAAATGCACTGATATTTTGGATACATCAAAATATAGCCCAAATTGTATGTTACGTAAGCAGCTGAAAAGTAATGTAGAAATACAATGAACATGAATCTGTAATGGAATCTCCCTAGTGGAATCTTATCCACTATGTCTTACACTTTAATCGTGATTTATGCAAACTAAATTAAAGGAGTCAACTATTCCTCTGTTTTTAAACCCTCTTTCTCATTAGGGAGTGCTGTTTACAATTCTATTTCGTTTTAATCTGTCATTAATAATTTTGTAAATACTCTCTATATATAAAGTATGCCAATTAAATAAATAATTTATTGGATTTAAATTCTATTTTATTATATAATCTAGTAATTAATCAGCCTTGCTGGGGTTTTGGGGTTTTGGGG